CTACCCCTTCAGACACCTCCACACGGTAGGTATTCACGCAGAAATAGAACAAGATCTCCAAGGCGGAGGTTGACTCGTCTGAGGTGGTGTAAATTAAAAAGAGGTTGGCGATGCCAGAGGTGGTTTTCCCTGTGTCGTCGCCTGTGATGAAGCCTAATGTGTTTCGAACAGGGAGGAAGGATGCATTAACGGCAGAGGTGATGTTGAGGTTGCCGGTGGTGAGGAGGATGCCATTTGGGAGTGTGGCTCGGGGGGAGACGAGGGTGGGAGGGGAGACGTTGAGTCGGGGGGTTATATCTGCTGTTGAGGAGCAGATTGCCAAGGAAGAAAAGTCGGGGAAGGTGCACGAGCCGGTCGAGCATGTTGGTGAGAGGTGAGCAATGGGTGAGGAGGATGGTTGGAACAGAGAGCTGTGGATGGAGGTTATCTCGGCGGGTGAGAGGGCTACATCCTGTTAGCTGATAGAAACATAAAGGGGCAAGGAGCATACCATTGTAAGGCTCAGGATGGGTGTAAGCCTCGCTCCTCGGCACCGTTGCCGTCCCCCCTACCGCAATCCCACTACCGCCATCACTCAGAGGATACGTAATCGCCGCCTGGGTCAACGGCGACAGCAGAAAAGCTGTTGCTAGCAAAGCTGCAGCTGACATCCCCAGTGCCCTCCCTTTTCTCTTCAACATCAACTTGATGCCCCCTATTGGTGTCCTTCTGGCATCTTCAAACACCCCATAATCTCTGATATCCTTCTCTCCTCTTGCAAACGAGTTCCATTTCAACTGCGACAGTCCCTCTCCCAATGGCACCACCAGCGCAGCTTGTGCTATCGCCACCAAGAACCCCACGAGGGTGTTCAAGGATATCGCCATTGGCCATTCAGACAAAGACTGCCCTTCGTGGATCTTGAAAACTGCTATTGTGAGAGCAAGACAGACAAGGCTGATGAAGCAACATGTCAGCTCCACAATCCAGCAGCCCAAATACCCGAAACATCCCTGACTACCATAGCCAGTTCCATGCTGTTGCTTCTTGCGTCTCCTCTGACGATCCCAGGACCTTTGAGCTTTCAAATATTTCTTATTTATTGATGGGACATCCGGGATGGCATCCTGCCTGGGAATCTGCCCATCAATCTGGGATTCATCCTTTGGTTCCGTTCCCGGACCCGGGTTGAAATAATCGAGATCTTCATAATGCATAAAAGGCCCAGAGTTCGCATGGTTGCCCCGACCTGAAGACAACCGAGTCAGATTACTGGGACGGCTCTTTCTCTGCTGACTTTGCCTCAACCTTTCCGGAACCACATTTTGACTCGTTGTCGAACGAGAGTGATGCCGAAGGTTAGGAGTGCTATTAGTCTGCGTGGTAGATCTCCACGCCGAAGGTGGCACAGGCGTGATTTCTTCTTCTCTTGGAGGCTGCCGCTCGCTCGGAGGAGGCGTGATATTCAGCCATGAAGCCGTAACCGGAGGCCCAGACGTCGATAATGTCGGTTCTGGAGCTGGCCCATAAGAAGTCCGAATGGGACCCTTACCCGGCTGCGCCGCCCGTGCCCTCGCTTCGTTCAACTCTCGCAAGTCCCGGCTCCCTCGCCAATATTGAGAAGGTGGGAATGGCACATCCACAGGATGCGATCGAAGCGGTTGTGGAGGTGATGGTTGCGGCACAGGCGGGAGGTCCTTGTTCTGGGTGGCATAGGCGAGCCAGATTGGCGGATAGCTTTCTGTGCGTGGGACATCGGGTCGTTGTGGCACTGGAAGCTGCTGCTGCTGCTGTGACTGTTGTCTCGGCCAAGAGGGAGCTGAGAGGGATTCGTTGTACTGTTGTTGTTGTTGTTGTTGTTGTTGTTGTTGCGCCTGATGCTGCTGCTGCTGCTGCTGTTGCTGGAAGGACCCCGCATTGCCAGCTGCTTGCCAACCCGACTGTGCCGCAGCTTGGTGGTGTTGATGATGGGGAGGCGAAGAAAGACCCAAAGCTGTGCCTCCTCCACTGCCGTATACGTAGTATTGCTGCAGCTGTTCCTGATCGACGTCGTCGCTATCCCCTTGCTGGACAATATCTTCTTCCTGGTCCTCATGGATGGAACTGGCTGGGGACACAGTATGTCGCCCCCCACTGCTCACGGTCCCCACGCGCTGTGGTGATAATGGCGTTTGTGATGAAGACGCATTGGTCGGTTTCCTTGCTGGTCGAGTCTCCAAAGGCGAAACTTGTTCCTCGAGAGCTGGTCTCGGGCGCGTAGTGGCAGTATTGGTAGCCACAGTCACTGGTTGTCTACGCGTAGTCGTTGACGATGCTGATGGTACCGATATCATCTGTGGCCGTGAAGAAGGCGCTGTCGATGTCACCGGGGGATAATACGGCTCCGAAAAGACATAACCCTCTTCATCCTCGAGGTAGTATCGGTCATCGTGACACGGAGGACCTGGGGGCATATCGGGCAGCGCCTATCGTTGTCGTCGTGGATTTATCGAGAAGAAACATTTCCCGTCTTAACGAAATCCTCTCATTCCGATATATCCAACCTCAATTCCTTCCCATCGATCCAACAAACACGAAGCTGAGTGAGCGGATTTTCGTTCCTTTGCCGGTCTATCTTACCATCCGTCTCACACAGCCGACGGAGAGTGTAGGCACCGCAGAATCAGACGTGACAACAATTCGTCCCTCCTCCCTCTTGCCAAGTGCCAATTGAACCAAGAGGTGGAGAAAACAAAAACAGCGACGGGGAAGTTTGAAGAGCAAAAAAGAAGATCAAATCGAATGATGAAATGTTTGGTTTAGCCAAACAACCACTCTTACCTACCCACCCCTCTCTCCTCATGTCTGAGGTAAGCTCAGCTTGGTTTAGTACATGGGGGAGGGGTGATGATGCACGATCCGTACCTGTCCATTTCTTACATACATAGACGATCCCGGCTACATACACACACACACACACACACACACACAGAACACAAGGCCCAACAAACACACCCATTCACAAACCCACCACCCTCACAAACAGACTTTTTGATGCGTGCCTTGATTTTTCAACGTTTTATTGCCAAAGCCACCTGCACTCTCATCCGGCTTAGCTTCACTGGTCATATCTGTACCTTTTCTGCGCAATGTCGTCAATCAATCCCCCATCCCGTCTCCGTTCATCACCAAATACACCCAACTCACCAATGTCTCTGTACCCTCAGCCGTTTGATGACTGAACCGGGCTTTTCGTTTTATTATCCACCCTCACTGATTGCTCGCAGCAACAAGCAGGCCGAGGCCAGGGCCGGTGAGAATTTCAGGCCGGGTAGCTGCTGTTGCTGCTTGCCTCTTCCCAGCCTCTTCCCTCCCAATCGAGGCATAAGATGTGATATAATCCTTGGCATGACCTCGATCTCCAGAATCCGACTATTTCTATATTTCCACGAGGATCAACAAACTTGCTGGAAAGATGAAATAATTTGATCTATATGATAGAATCGACTTATATACCCGGTTAATAGAGTAGAAAAAAAAAAGGGTCCAGTCCACTCAGTCGTTGTTGTACTACGGACTTTTATGGTGGAGCCAAACCCACCACAGCACCACCCCCCCCCCCCGAGCCGGGACAAATAACATCCCAGAGAAAGCTGCTGCCTGAAGATTCAAGAAAACCTCACGTTCAAAACACTTGCACAAATCCCTATTCACGAAACAGTGTTTTTACCATCATTCCAACCCTTATGAAGCCGAAAAATGAGAAGCATTATGGTGTTTGTGAACCAAGATCGCTAGAAACCTCACAGAACCCCAAAATGAGACGAACAATTGCTGCGCCGCCGCGCGGTAGTCTCGGCACAGGTGGTCAGCTCCAAACAGAAATGCAAAAATCCCGAGCTGCCGCGGCCGCTCGATAAGATGCTGAGCTCCAATATACTCAAGCCCTCAAGCCCTCAAGCCCTCAAGCCCTCAGGCCCTCAGGCCCTCAGGCCCTTAGGTCCTCAAGTCCTCGAGAGAGAAAGGTGTCACGACCAGTCCCGGCCCGGTTACACTGCATTTTGATCCCCTCTTTTCCCTCTTTCTTCTCCGCATCTCCCCAGAGTGCCTTCCATCCCACTTCCCCACTTCCTCAATCCTGAAACTTGTGGCTTTGGCGAGCTGAGATGCAAAGAATTCACGTTCAATGCTGCAATCTACTTAAGCAACTGTTTTAATTGTTAAGTAAGTGAAGTGATGGCACCGAGCAAAGTCGCCGAACGGAAGCCGATGATGGGTGGATCCACCCGGTGCCGACCGGCCCGGCCCGGCGAACAGGTGGATCTACGTCGGACGCCGAGCCAACCGGGGTCGAGGCCGGCCCAAACAAAAACTGACAGTCTGCCTTGTCAAAAAGTATACAATCCCGATCCTGTATTTTTGGTTCATCCAAACCGAGAACAACATATTCCAGATTGTAGAAACCTGGGACCAAACCACTGGTAACATCACCCCCAAGGGCACCTTCTACCCGGCGGCACAGGCCCAATCCATCGCATCCAATATCACTCAGTCAAAAGGCAAATACCGGTAGACTTCTCTATTGTCCTAAATCATAACACTTATACATCCACCACCTCCCACCCAATACCCATCGCGCGCACGCTTCGCTCATGTTATACCCCCCTTGATGATGCCCCTTAAATTATGCCACACCCAACAACCAAGCAGCTTTTTGACCCTCTCAACATGTCCAATAAATAAAAGCCCGTACACAAAACAACGATATAAACCGCTGAACTCATCCCTCCAAAAAGAAAAAAAGAAAAAAAAAACCCTCCCTAAACGCCCTATCCCATGTGACCCCCCAGAAAACAAAACACACCAATCCAACTCCCTAGCCATGTAATCCCTGGGGTAATTCCTTATATAATAACAAGACAGAAAAATACACACCACTACTAATCCCGATACGCAGTGAATGAACCCCCAGACGTAGATTCCACATGCGTCACGCTCGACGCCTCCGACCCTGATGATGCGCTCCGTCTGAACAGCCAGTCCTAATGGCGATGTTCATGGCCGTGATCATGGCTGTGATCGTGATCCGAGTGTGAGTGAGAATGGCTGCTTTCTGGCCGTGATCCAGCTGCAGAAGTGTTGCAGCACCCCTTCCCAACACAGTCATCAACACAGTCCAGGAGGCACGCATCCTCCTCCTCTAGCTCTCCACACCTTGGCGCCGCGATAACTGTTGAGCCATCCAACCCCATATTCACCACCGATTCGTGGTCATGCCCCTCATCCAAACAGAACTCTGGTTGGATCGTAGCGCTGTGAATACCGTAGGCGTGCAAGCATTTCCTAGCCATCTTAGCCACCTCCATGTATCTCGCGCCACCAGCCTCGGAGAGAGGGAAGGCGACCTTGATATGCATCGAGGCCACGATCTTGGTATCAGAGAGCTGCCAGATATGGACGTGGTGGCAGCTGACAACCCCGGGAAGACACTGGATATCCTCCTTGACTTCTTGCAGGTCGATGTTTTCTGGCGTGGCCTGAAGAAGAACCTTGGAGGTCGCCTTGGTGAGAGGAATGGCCGATTTGAGAATGATGAGCGTGATGAATAGAGAAACCGCTGGATCAGCGTATCTCTTGCCGCTCCAGTCTGTCAACCAAATGATGAGCGCGGTCGCAATGACACCCACATTTCCAAGCGCATCTCCCAGTACGTGAAGAACCATGGCGTCCATTCCCATATCGGCGTGACTGTGGCCGTGCTTCTTTCCAGGCTTCCTTGGCTTGTTGTGATTATGCGAAATGTGAACGACCGAGTTGCGCCTAGACCGTTTCCCATGAGTATGCGCAGGTTCCGCCTCTTCCGGAATCACAGCATCTCCGCTTTGCTCAAGCAATGGCTGCTCCTCCTGAGCAGGCCCGTCAAGGAGCGCACTTTCATCCTCAGTATTACTGTCGCTGCTGGATCCATCATCGACCGGGGGTTTGGTAGCGGCGATGATCTCCTGTCGGAAACTGGCGGGGTGGATGCTGATATCGTCTATACTCAAACGGCCGTGCTGCCGGGCAGCCTGAAGACGTTTCTTGTGCCCGGAACGAGAACCTTGGCGAGAATGACTATCAGTTGAAAATCGAATGTTTCCACCCGGAGATTCAGGGATCAAAGCAGGAGGCTGCTCGTTGATGGGCGATGCCAGGTCCCGGTAGCCGGCGCGTCCCTCCTCTGCCGTGCTAACATCTGCTTCGTGTGTATGCGAGTGTCCGTCGCCATGGTCGTGGGCGTGGTCATGGTCGTGATCCCCAGGCCCATGCGAATGTCCGTGTCCACCAAGAACGACAAAGCCAACCAAGTTTGACGCCAATCCCATGCAGCCCACAACAAGGATGAGTTGAGGGTTTTCGATATCAGGTGGATCAACGAGTCGTGAAATGGCTTCGAGTACGATAGAAACGCAAAGGGCGATGAGGAAGACAGCGTTGAAGAACGCACCCAGAATTTCGGCACGAACCCACTACAGGTCAAGTCAGTCAGTTACACAAATTTCCAGAGCGGGAATGATGGCGCTGGGCGAGGCGGAACTCACTCCGTATGAGAATCTGTTGGTGGTTGCCTTTGCCGCTACAGAGACGGCCCATAGACCGACGAGCAGTGAGATGATATCGTTTAACTAGCAGATGGTTAGCGACGAGGGAAATAAGCCGGATGACGAGGCAATAGGTACCATATGAAAGGCATCTGCCATCAGCGCCAGTGACCCAACCATGAAGCCGACAGTGAGCTCCAGGACGAAGAACATGACGTCGATGACGAGCATCACCTTGATGCGCGTCGACTTCGACCACCCCATCTTGAATGTCGTTCCGAAAGAATTCCTCCAAAAATTGAGTCGGGGTTGGTGATGTGTTTCGCGCTCGATGTGTTATGCCAACAACAGTGGGATGAAAAGAGAAAACAACAAAAAGATGGGATGTGTTTTGCGATGGCGCAGGTCAGACCGAGACGTCTGGTCTTTGCGTGATCAGACTGGGCGAGAATTCGCCGCCCCTCGCTGTTGACTAAAAAGGTGTGAGATGGCTAGCGTGCCCAGCGGTCGGGTCCAGGAATAAAAAACGTTGGCCGGGGGTTGCGATTATCTTTCAGACCCCTGTCCCGCCCTGCCGGTGACCTTCCTCAAAGAGATGCTTCAGCTGAAAGTTCAGATCAGTATCCGTAGCCCCATCGCATTCGCGCGTTCAATAGTTTGGTGACACTCTTGTAGAAATACACACAAGATAGATGGCATTGATCTGATCGCAAGGAACGGCATCTTGTTGCGCTCCCTCGCTGAGGTGTGCTGGCTCGTGGCAGTGAAAGGAAGCCGGCCCTGGTGACATCAATCAGGCGCCCCGCTTGCCCTGGAATGCCCCGCTTTTTTGAATCGCCGCAGCAATTGAGAGAAAGCCGTCGGAGTTCACATTCGGCAGAGACTCGTTCCGGCAAGTTGAGGATATTAGCTACCGAATCTATTTTCTTTCTGGAATCCAACCTTATTCTCAATAAACTTTGTCCTGCCAGGAACAAGCACCGTTGGCGAACTCTAAGTTATGTGTAACGTCCCTGAATCCATCCACCGGTGCACTTGGACCCTCACCAAAACCGTTGAACCAAAACAGGCCTGTTGACTCAGCTAACCTGGTGATGCATTTACCTACGCGCCAGCGAGCTCACTTATCAGCAAGGAATGGCCAGACGTGGTGATATCAAACTACTGATACAACACCAACCCAAGACTTTCGGCGCGGGGGCTAGTACCCTTTTGAGCAGGTGACTACGCGAAGATCAACTACACTATCCTCAACTCAACCATACGCATGAACATTCGTGGACAACTACCTGCCTGTAACGTCAGGTCCTATGCCGTGGAAAAGTCAAAACTAGCGCTTTATAGGGCAACAAGTCATGCGAACTCTTGCGGGCCGCATGATCTAGAAGCTCTCAGGTTACACCACATTCAGGTGTCGAAGCCAGGAACACATACATGACAAAGGACGGTGCTTCAACACTGAACATCGATTGACCTTAGATCATGTCATCGACAACGTTATACCCAAATATTGCTCCTAGACTCGGGTGCATGGAAGGTCGAGCAATGAGTGGTACTTGGAAATGGGTGATCCAACAGACTCGTCCCTACCCACACAAAGTACACCAATTACGCAGTGTTTTATATAGGGATTTGTAACATTTTTGCAAGATTTCTCATTAAATATGCGGTTCCTACTTTCCCACAACATACCGAACACCAACGACATGGAATCCAGCCCCTACTTAAGCCTGACTTTTCAGCCACACCCCCAAGAATGCGTATGCCGCGACCACCACAATATCTACGAGTTTAACAGAAAAACACTTTCAAAAAAAGAGACATAGGATATTCGGGGTCAAAAGTTGAACAAAGCAAAACATACAACACCGAGGATTCCCCAGTGGTCACCCACCTGAGTACTGATTCGGCGTTCAGCTGTTTGACGAGGGCAGAGCGGACGGGATGCCGTATTTTCAACTGACTATGGTCGTATGCGACAGTTCTATACCAAAATCTAGTTTATATCCTAATGGGTGAGATATTGCCCATTTGTGGGTTCCATGTAAGACACCAACATGAGCGCGCCCAACCCTATACCTAGCCCAACATAACAGCAGCGACAAACAAAATAGTCGAAACCCACACAACAGGTAAAATGAGCGAGTCTTTGTCAGATCTCATATAAGATTGACTAGAGATGATTCAAGGTGAATGAATTTTGGGTCCATGGTTTGGGATCCAATAGGATTAGGCTGCCATTTGTCACGCAAGTCTCACAGGGTCGAGTGTCAGCACTGAAAAGAGATTGACTTAAGTAAGCACACGATCCTTGTGCAAAGCTGACAGTCCATCTCTTTTGCACTGTACAGTTGAGACCAGACTTACAACTTGCTTCATAGATATATCCTAATAATCATATCATGGCATGTTTCTTCCTCCCCAGTGGAATCGACGAAGGTGGGTCGAACCAGAGCCCATTCGCCCCTCCTCCCTCCAAAGCCCAACAAGCCTGTGTAAGTTGCCGAAAGCAAAAGTGAGCCTCCCTCTTAACCCCCTTCTCATGAACCAACACTGACAACACGCCCAGGAGAAAATGCGACAAAATCCTCCCCACATGCGGCCTCTGCGCCAGAATGGCCCGGCCATGCGATTACACCATCCTCGACACCATCCCACAACAGCAACCGGCCCAAGCATCATCAGAGGAGCTCGCAACCCTCCAGGCCCGGCTGTGTGAGCTAGAGAATCGTCTCAACAATGCCTCTCAATCTCAACAACCACCACCGCCACGACAACCATCACCACCTAGCATGCACATCAACCCTGAAATTCTCCCTCCTCTACCTCCCAAGCCACCCTCGCCCCTCTGGTCCCCTTCTGCTGTCCCCTCCCGCTTTCCCACCTCCTTATTCCTCGACCTGGACGCCTTCAACTGGTCCACCACCCCCATCCCCGCCCCCAATATGCCCATCCCAAGTGAAGTCCTCGACATCCTATCCAGAGGCACAACAGTCCAAGACACCGCCACCGAATACTTCCACGGCACCCACGCTTGGTTCCCCTTCATCTCCAAAAAACGCATGGAGCTCGGGCTGTCCCTCTGGGAAGCCGGTCCCGAACTTGCCTTCCTCTTTCTCGGCATGAAACTGGTAAGCACCCCAGTCAACAACGGGGTGGAGCCAGCCGGCAACCCGCTGTATACCGCAGCGAAAAGATTCTGGGCTTCGCTCGAACAAGCCGGGAGCGTGAGCCTGCAGTTTGTCCAGGGGATGGTGCTGGTGACGGTTTATGAGATGGGGCACGGGATATACCCCGCGGCGTGGATCAGTGTAGGAGTGCTGGGGAGATGGGTTGAGGTTTTAGGACTGCCGGGTTTTAGAAGAGGAGGGGTGGCGTTGGGGAGCGTGGTACGTCTTTTCAGCTGCTGTGATGATGACTCTGAAACCGATGAGGATGATGCTGACAGTACCTTCAAAAAGACAACCTGGACTGAATCCGAAGAACGCCGCCGTTTGTGGTGGGCAATCTACATTCTTGATCGCTGCATCTGCCTCGGCAACAAGAGATGTTTCTGCCTTCCGGAGCCAGACGAGTCTTTTGTCCTGCCGGTAGATGATAAAGCTTTTGTTAGTCCCCCTTCCCACTTGCTACCAAGTCACTAACCCACCCCCCGCCCCTTCAGGACGAAGGCAACCCAACCCTCTCCCCCACCAACCCCCTACCAACAACCCCGTTCACCACCCAGGCTCTCTCCCCCTTCACCCGCCTAGTCCAATCCGCCCTGCTCCTCTCCCGCACCCTAACCCACGTCCGCACCGTCATCCAATCCAACATCTCCAACCGCCCAGTCCCATTCTCCCTTCCCCTTCTCACGTCCCTCGCCACCGACCTGGTTAACTTCACCCAGGTGATCCAATCCGAACTTTCCCCCGAACCACCCTCCCCCGGGACTACCACCACCCCCTCTTCCACCTCAACCTTCCTCTCCACCACCACCACCACCGTCTCCCCTTGCTACACCATCTCCCTCCTCCCGTCTCTTTCAATAGCCCTCTCAACTCTAATCCTCCTCTTCGACACCTACTGCACCCCCGAAAACCAACACCTCGGCCCCTCCCCCCTCCCCGGCCCCGAAGCTCCCCCCCTCCAGTCCCCCTCCCACATTTCCTTTGCTCAGCAGTCTATGCAAGGGCTACGGGAGACCTCCCTCAAGATCCGCGAGCTCTCCCTCGAACTCCTCGACCTGCTCGTCCTCCCCTCCCAAGAAAAAAAACTCTCCCCTTTGTGCCTCGACAGCCTCTACGCCTCAATGGCAACACTGCACTGGTTTATGGAAAGAAAAGGCGGCAACGCCGGACGTGAGAGAGGCGCTCGAGGGATGTGCCGACGGTGCATAAGCAGGACGAGCATGCGGTGGGCGGGTGTCAGAGAGAGTACCTCCGAAATACTCAAACGGCAAGACGTCAGTTTTTGCCCATGGGCTTTCAGGGCTAGAGAGTGGCAAGTCATGTTTGACACGTGTGGACGGATCGTAATCGCCGCTGTCGTTGACAATGATGGGACCCGCATGAACAAGCAAATGTTAAAACTCCATAATAAACGTTGTGGTATACACTGGATGGATAATACATAACATAACGCCAATTCTTCTCAGTCGAACCCCAAACACCATTGGCTTGCTTGCTTGCTTTCCCATAGTCTAACAAATACCTCCCCTCAAAACTTGTAAACCTGCTCAGGGGTATACCCCAACTCCTTCAAAATCCCCTTCAACTCCCCCTGGTCCCTCGGGCTCTTCTTGTTCCCCGAAATGCTGTCCATCATCCCCGGCGGCCCGCAAACAAAAACCTTGATGTTTTCGTTCTTCGGCTCCGGCAACACAGTCTTCAGCAGCTCCTTGTTGATGAACCCCTTCGCACCAGTCCACTGCTTGGGCGGGTTGTCCAAGACATAAAACGCCCTGAACCGCTGAGGGTAGTGGTTCTCGAGCGTGGCCAGCTCGTTCTTCAACAAGATATCATCCGCGCTGACGTTGCCAAAAACCAAGGTAACCTTGGTCTTATCCTCGGGGTTGTTGAAGATGGTCCTGAGCAGCTGGTACATGGGCGTGATCCCCGTACCACCAGCCACAAGAGCAATATGCTCATGTTTGTTCGGCGACCAAGCATACTTTGGCAGCGGCCCCTTCACATCAAGCCTCTGACCGGGAGCCATATCGTGCAAATGGGTGCTCATCGGGCCATTGGGGTACTTCTTCACCAACAAATCAATATACCCCGGCGTGTCCTCGTCGCTGATTGGCGTGTACGGCCTCAAAACAGCCTTCTCGGCATCCACAGGCTTGTACTTTGTCAAAATGGCACTCGCGACAGGAAGGCCAGAGACCATGTCATCCTCGGGCAGGCGGAAACGAAGACGCTTCGAGTTGTGGTTGATGATCTCCACCTCCTCAAGCTTGAGGCTGAGGAAGCCCTGGTCGCCGCCGGTGAAGGCTTTCTTGGCCTCGACGCCCGGGATCTTCTCCGCGACGGCGGCGGAGGCGTTCTTGACCTTTTCTTGGGCCTTGTTCGCAGCGGTGGAGCCGGAGAGGAAGTAGTAGCCTGCACCGGCGAGACCGGCGGCGGCGGCGGCGCCGTAGAGGAGGGTGTTGTTGCTGCCCTTGGAGGAGGGGGAGGGGTCGGTGGCGTAGCTGCGGATTTGCTGCAGAATCAAAAAAAAATGTCAGTCAATGCGGTACAGGAGCCATGATTGCAGGATGCGAAAGAAGCTCGAAAGCTACCGCTTAGTCTGCGGTTGGTACATCCCTCGTGCTGACCCAGCGATGACGCAGTTGGGGAGAGGGAGACAGCGAACAAAAAATTAGACTCACGCGCTTGAGGGGCGCAGAGACCCGGAAGGCGGACCGACTAGCGACGAACAGACTCATTGTTGGTGGTGAGGTTGACGTTTTTTTTTTTTGTTGGAGGTGTTGGAGAAGAAGATCAAGAACTCCAAGAACGAGAACAGGACCCGGGTGTTTGTATCTCAATCGGAGTGGAGGGAGGGGGGAAAGAGACGGGAGATCTGTAAAAAAAGGTGGAGGAAATCCGACCCTCTAGGATGTTGCTTGATTAGCCGTTGTTCCTACCCAGCGACTCCGGCGATTTACGTCATCCCCTCCCCCCAAGGCCCGCTAGAAACATGCCCTGCAGCACGACTTATCAAGTTGGGTTTTTGGTGATGGAACAGGTGGGGTCTGTCTGAAAGTTGAGATGTCATCAGGAGTCTTGATGGCAGTGTTCATCTCTTGTTTTTAGAATCGAGGAATTAGGTAATTGCCAATGGCTTCAGATGGCAGGTTTGGGCATGTGTGTTTTGATCAATGTATCCTTTTCTTCAACCGCAATCCTCTATCTCTCACAAACATCAACACAACAAACACCCTCTCTGAACTATTTTATCAACCTTATGATGGCACATGTCTCACCCACCCACTCCAATGCAATTCTTTATAACGAAAGACAGCCTCACCAACACCCAGCAATGATCTCAACCATCCACACAGACAAACACATCTCACCTCCCCCACCCACCATCACAACAACGCAACACTCGGAAAACAAGACCATAGAAAGACTCAAATGGGCTCCCATCATGATCATTCAGCATTCAACATCAAAAAAAGATGACAAACGACAAAAAAAAGATAATAAACAACCACGAGAAGAAAAAATAAAACCAGTAGGGTGAAAAGCCATTTCAAAGACAATAAAACATTTCGCTCTTCCTTTTTCCAACACAACCCACCCTAGAATTTCCGCCCAGCTTTGGGGGAAAAAACAAAAGAACCAGTCCTCTCATTTTATCAAGGCTCTGGGGTTAGAGGGTAGATATTAGTAGTACATTTGTCTTGACGAGTTCAACAACACCAATTCCCTACTCCACGCTTTGCCATGCCCAATAATTTGTCCTGGTCCTGTGAGAACATTGCTGCTTCCTTCTCGTGTGTTGAAGCTACAGCCCGAAATTTCACCTCCCCTACTTTCTCGCATTATCACCTGGACGCCCTCTTTGTACTCTCCAGCTTCGCATCCGGTAGCGTTTCCAATCCTGGCTCCCCTTTCTTGGTGGTGCTTATCACGTCTTGACTTCCTCTCCTGAGAAATCCGGCCTCGTTGTGGAAGAGTAGTGTTGGCGTGTTGGCTTGAGAGCCTCCTCGCTGGCCGTGGTAGTGCACTACCTGTGGAGGTGGCTGGCCAGCTTGTGTACCCAGCAGGTGTTGTGGGTAGGGGTCTAGGTCCTTGCTGCTCGTGCTAAAGGTTGATACTACCGGCTGGTGAAACCCGTTTGTTCCGGTTGCTGTTACTGTCGACCCGGAGCCTACGGTTGTGGCAGGCGATTGTGGAAGCTGATACTCGGTTTGAGTTGGGGTTCCCGCTTCGTTTGTGGCATTGCTGGGGCTTCCGGGGCTGGTAGTATCCAGTTGCCCTGTCAAGCTCGTCATGCCACCTTCAATATCACGGAGCAGCCGAACATATTCCTCAGGGACAAGCCCACTCTCTTGTGTTCTCGGATCCTCGGCCACAAGCCAGCCTTGACCATGCCGATATGATACCCAGATGATCTGACCCTCCACGAGCGGGAGCTCGTTCTCGTTCTCGCGCTCAAAATCAAAGAGAGCCACCGCTTTGCCGTGCATTTCCTCGTCGGGAGACGTGATGGTGAATTGATAGTCCCGTGAATAGCGGGATTCGTCAACGTTGTGGTATCCTGGCGAGGAGCACGTGCTCGAGTTGTCCGAATCGTAGGCTCCCTCGTCAGCGTAGCCCCTGGGCTGCTGGTTGGCGATTTGGTATGGCTCGTTTCCATTCCCGGCGTGTCCGTTGCCAGTGTGTCCCGCCTGTCCCGGTGGATAGGTCACGTATTCGCCGCCTGGGCCGTTCGCTTCGTTCCCTTGGCTGATGTAGTACCGGTCAGCTCCGTCGGCGCTGGTGCCGACGTAGAAGCCTCTATCGCCGCCATAATGGTCCTGGCTCATGAGCTGCTCACGGCCAACCCGACTCCTGCCGTAGATGCCACCCGACGAGGTCTTGTGATGCTTCCTGTGCCGAGAACTGACGACTGGGCTCTGGAGATCCTCGTCCTCGCTCCACGGTGGGCCGTCTGCCAAATGGATAGAGGGCAGATCAGCCGGTCTGCCGTGTGAGCCCCCGCCGCCACTGCTCCAGAAGTGGCCATCCCAGCCCCGGCTGTCCCAGGCGGTTGGTGGGTCCGAGAGACGTCGCTGCTCGCTGGCGGGGGTGGTCATGCCCGAGGGCGGTCGTGATGGCTCCGGGGGCGGACCATAGTGAAGCGGGTGACCGGGCGGGTAGGCAAAGTCTCGTACGAGCGTGTAGGGCAGGCTCGAGGGGAGGAGGGGGAAGATGTGAGAGGGCGGGCGTGACCGTGAGGGTAGCGAACTCGTGGTCGAGTACTGCGACAGCCGGTTCTTGGACGCGTGCGACATTGGGCGAGGAAGTTGGCTCCTGCGAGCGGGAGGTGAGGTGATGAGTGGTGGAAGTGCGGGGTGGGCCGCGTTCGCAGTCACCGGCGACGATATGGCGGGCGGCGACGTCGCTGGAGAGTTTGCGGGCGATAGGATCGCCGTCATGGTTTCCGAAGAAAGAGACGGCGGGACGGGCGTAGAAGAATTACTGATGTCGGGCGGGTGGGGTGCGGCCCTTTGCGCGCTGGCCGCTGGCTCGATTCGCTCGAAATCGAATAGCTGCGTGGGGACCCCCCAACCAGGCCTGCTCCCTACACTAAACCAGGGGTTGATAACTGGGGTCCGCGACTCGACCGAGTCTTGACCTTGCGCCTTCGAAACGCACGGTCTGTTTACTTTTTTGTCGTTGTTTAGAGCGAGGTTGTATTGTTGAGAAGAGAATGGTGTTTGACCCTCTCTTGTGACGGGGTCCGGACGGACCCTCGTTTCTCGCGCTGGCGCTGGCGCTGGCACTGGCACTGGCGCAGAACGGGGGCGGGCGTCTTCACAGTGCAGAAAAAAAAGATCAGACGAACGAAACTCGGCGGCTCGGAGGGGTGGAGCGTTGGGGGAACCTAGAACCGGTCGTTCGCTCGAGGCTCGACTCCGGAAGGTCGGAGAAAGGGGGGGGCAATGGGTGTCTGTTCCCACGTTGAAGGGCTGTCGAGAACAGTGGTGGTAGATGAGGACGTGGAAAAGAGAGCCAAATCAATTGGCCATTCCCAGAGCAAACGTGGTGTTTGACAGACAGTCGGAAGTCAAAGATGAGGGGAACCTCCCACTACAACCCGCGAGCGGAACACAGCGCACACAACAGGCAGAGAAGCGGGCGGCTGGCCGGGTTGCTTAAGCGCGCTGCGGCCAGAATCAGAGACCAGGCCCCAGCAATTGCCAATCATTCTTCATTTTCTATTCACTATCTTTCATACTGTGTACAGATAGATGGATAGCCAGCTATGTAAGATCTGTATACTGTGTATGAACCAACTGCATGTTGGTGACAGTCGGCGAGGGGAGAGAGAGGCCCGGAATGGCTGCACCTTTCATTGGCGAGCTCTGGCATCTGGACACACAAACTCAAAGGATTGTTCTGTCATTGAGAAAGCACAGTTGTCTCCTGTCTGCATTACGAGACGCATAGGTACCTAGCCGTCGTCCCAGCACAGAAATCGTTGTCTTGTCGTCCCATCTATATATAGCTTCTGTGAGTAGCATTCCCCAAGGTCCTGGGAGGAAAGTCGAAGAAACATCCAAAAAGCTCGGTTAAATATACTGAAAAGCAGACTGATGAACGGGCCACGCGTTTCCATTCGGAAGCTGGCTCGAGACAAAGAAACATGGAGGGGGCTTGAGAGAGGGGAAAGAAGCGAAGGTACCTTGGGAACAGTACTGTGTAGCAACCTAAGGGGAAACATGTAGCGCACGGGCCACATTGTTTCAAGTCCGCATCCAGGCTGTGGGGCTCGTCATCCATCCGGCTCAAGGCGGTCAGTGGCGGCGAGACCTCGCTAGGGCCAAGACCGACTGCCGAAAACATTTCAAGGCTTCTTCCAACCGCGACTCTCCATTTCTGCATCATCAACACTGCTACCTACTCTGCCTCAACAAACAGACAGCGCCCTCATACCACTTCTCACCTCTCGTGAGGCGACAGCACCCAAATAGTAATGGGTGTTTAGCTGTGCCGGGTGCTCTCATTTCTTCAGCCTTGCTGTGTCTTTCAAAGGTAAAAATTACACGCTTCCCCTCTCCGAACATGCCCTTTGTCTTCCATGATGAACTCTTTATTGGAGCTGTCTTAGACTCGCTTTGCGGGCCATGATGATAGACTTTTTATTACGCTTTTAACTGAAATGACAAACAACACCTTGACGATCAAGTCGAAAAAATTGCATTGGCAAGACAATAAGGTAGCTAACACCTCGTGTCCAGAGTTGATTCTCAACAACCATCGATGGGAACGATCAGCAGCAGCATCAAACAAATCCGTCAGGGGTATTCAGAATGGACACCGCCAACGGTAACGCGACTACGGCTTCGGCTGCTCCCGCTGCTCCGGCCCAGCCAAACGGCCACCGGGAGGACCCAGGTGGCTTCAAACTCAAGTTTTGCACCGTATGTGCCAGTAATCAGAACAGGTAAGATACAAATGTCTGCTTTTGAAGGTGGTGCGCGGGGGAGGATTAACACAGCTCAGATCTATGGAGGGCCATTTGCGTCTGGCGTTGGCAAACTATCCAGTGATTTCTTTCGGAACCGGCTCTCTTGTCCGGCTTCCAGGTCCTACCATCACACAGCCCAATGTCTACAAGTTCAACGAGACCTCGTACGATAGTATCTACAGAGAGCTTGAGGCCAAGGACCCCCGTTTGTATCGGGCCAACGGGCTTCTTAACATGCTCGGCCGAAACCGCAACATCAAGTGGGGCCCGGAAAGATGGCAAGACTGGCAAGTAGGCATGCCCCGAGTCAAGAAAGAAACAGACAAAGGCTTCGAGGGCATGGAGGGAGGCGTCGCCGATATAGTCATTACCTGCGAAGAGCGCTGCTGGGATGCTGTGATCGATGATCTTCTTAACCGGGGCTCTCCACTCAACAGAGCTGTTCATGTTATCAACATTGATATCAAGGACAACCACGAAGAGGCCTCCGTTGGAGGCAAAGCCATGGTCGACCTTGCCGACTCCCTGAACCAGGTCGCGAAAGAAGAGCGCGAAAAGGTTGGCGCAGCGGCGTTTGATTCTGGCAGTGGTGCTGCCAGAGCCAGCTTTGATGAGCGTGTTCCCGAGGTGATTGGTGAGTGGCAGGAAAGATGGCCTAACCTTCCTGCGACTTGGACTTTGGCTTGGTTTTGATGAGCTTCACTGCATTCATCTCTTCAACACTCATATTTCATGGTTTAGCGGGCGTTGGGCGGTTGGTATTGCTTTCGGGATATGGACTTTGGGCATTGAATCAAGCAAGCGACGGATAGCAGACATCTCATGAGGCAGGCTTATGAAGCGGCGACTCCGAGACCGCTCTTTGTTTTCTCTTTCTTTTTCTTTTCTATTTCTTTTCTTGCTGTCTTTTGACGGCGATTGACACCGCCTTGCACATGATTCTCCGCCTTTTGTTTTTTTTACCGGCGCGGCTCCGTTGGTCGGACTTTTGCCGTGACCCGGGATGCAGTGATTAAAGGACCGGATCGGCCCTGTTAGGACTCCGGACCTAAGATCGAGATGAAATGAGGCGACAGGGGATGTTCCGCCGAGTTCTCAGCCCAAGAAGACGTCGACCCGCCGAAGCGCAAAAAATGACTCGGCTTCCAGAATGTCCTGATCGGAGGCATCTTTGTTCAGATGCGCAACGAAAGGTGTGATTTATTTATCCAGCGTACGGAAGATCAAACGGATGTTCCCATGGGGGCTCATGCGGATGGGCCCGAGAGTCAATGCATATGGAAATCAAGCTCAGAAAATCACACGCTATCCATGTGACCGTTACCGCAGAGAGAGCCGCAGCAAGGGGACATTTCTATTTCCCTACATAGTGTACTGCGTCCACAATACCTACGATTCTCATCGGTGGACGAAGTAGGTACGAATACAAATATTGGTGTTTTCTGGGCAGGCTTGTCCCGTGGAGATCGGCTAGCCAGGGACTGGTCTGATGGTGTCTTTGTTCTGATATGGATGGTCCTTGTCTCCGTGACCTCCCTCAGCTCGTGGTGTGCTTTGTGGGTGATGTCGTGCATGCCGGCGCCTGCCGTGGCCACGTGCGATCAAGTTCATTGGCAGAGAAAGTTGAAGCCATTCTGACCAAGACTCACAAGACTCCATCGCCGTTGAGAGAGGCCTGCGTAACCTTGGGGCCTGTGCACCTGAAGAGAACCCCCATAGCCCCCCCTGTTCTGGGCCCTCCCGCCTCCTTTCGCCAACTGTTCCTGCTGTAGCGCGCGACTAGCCATTGAGGAAATTGCAACCCCAAGTGTTCAGCAGCAGCCAACCACATCGCTGCGTACAGTTCATCCCGTCGTCAGGGGCGCCTTGACGTTCCGCCCTTTTTTCCCCATCTCACACAGACACGCGCACTGTTCTGTAATTACACTGATATCTTTGCTTTTCTATTCTTTTTTTTTCACTTCTCTTTCTGTGAAGAGATCAGTTCAGACAAGCAGACCAGGTCCCCTCCAGGTCCCCCAGCCGCAAGCAACGAGACCCAACGGCCACCGCCGCCGTAAATTCCTGCCTGTATTTCTCTAGCGGTAACACTTCCTGAACGGCCGGTTTCTTCTCATTTGGTAATTTGGCGTAATTTTGCAGACCGCAGCAGCAACCTAGAAAGAAGAAGGCCACCCCCGAGGAGGAAGCGTCGCAGTTGGCTGGGGCGTTGATGCGTTTCATGCTGTGACAACCACCTGCCGACCACCGACCACCGACCACCGACCGTTTCCCGCTACACTTGCACCGCATTCCAATACCGACGGGACCGTTGTCTCTCTTGAATCGTTCTACCGTCCCCGTTCCCCGTTGAATGTGCACGGAACACAGTACAACGACGTCCATCTTCACCTCGGCCTCTGCCGCGAACTCCCCGTCTCTCAGTGCGCGATCTGGCCCGGCGCCTGCTTGACACGATTGACGACGCCATTCCCTCCGAGCCACCCCGAAGACCATGAATGGCCTCAATGCGCCACTGTCTCCTGTCTCTGTAGGCGGTAGCGAGTGGTCTTATCCCACCAACACCGACAAAAACACATATCCAAACAACCGCGGAGACATCACCACACCACCCGACTCGGCTGGTGCTGTCAGGGCGATGAATGGGAACTTCCCACCGGGGCCCAGGAGCGTCGGCGGTCCCTCCCCGCCTCCCTCTGTCGGCCGATCCAGTGCCGGCACCAACCTATACGCAAGGAGTGAGAGTGGCAGAAGCCAAGTCGTGAGGGATGACTTGGGCGGCCATGAGATGGTGCTCGCTGAGCACTATGTCTCACTCAAGCGATTTCTGTCAGCGACTTCGCGTGACGGCAACCCGAAGCCACCACCGAACAAAGCTCGCGACAAGCTGCAGCGCCTTACTGGGGTTCAGTTTCTCGAGCTCAGTACCGACGTCTTTGACGAGCTGAAGCGACGTGAGACAACAGCTCGTAGACCCCCCAATGCTCCTCCAGGATCCGGTCCACCTGATTATCTATTACCTGAGGACAACTTCCACCCCAAGCGAAACCAAGCGCGCCAAAAACTTTCGTCATTGGGCCCTCCACGCTTCCGCGATCTGGCCACCGATGTCTTTTGCGAACTGGAGAGGAGGTTCCCACGCTTCGCGGCTGGGGATATCCCCCGTGTTGGCAGCCCAGTATCAGTACGCGGAGGTCCCATCAGCCGGTCGCAAACACCGGTAAGCGGAATGAATGGCGGGTTCCCTCCTCGGGGTCAGAGCCGTAGACGCCCTTCAGAAGCCAGCTCAATACGAAGCGGACGAGGGATGCCTACTCCTCTCGGCAGCGGCTTCCCTATCCCACCTTCTCCAGGCCTGCCGCCGAATGGCAATTATGGACAGCCGATTGCGAAGCAGTTCCAGAACAACACCATTGTGCCTAACAAGAGCACCATGGTGGAGGAGGACGATGATGCCATCAGCCCCATGAGTCCCGATCCTGCCGGATCTGATGCCTATGGCATGAACAGGTCAATAGACCGTGATAGCAAACGAAGTGCTGGCGCATCCGAGGTAGGCTCATTTTCACCCGAGGTTTTCGGGAAACAAACTAATCATGGTATGCAGACGGACAAGAAACTTCTTGAGGATTATGAGCAGCAAGTTAGGGATTTGCGTGAGAAACTGGACAGCATGGAGGATGCACTTAAGAAGAAGGATGACGACCTCATGAACGCTCTAGATGGGGAACGTTCCCGAGCCACGGCTTCTAATGCTGAGAAGAGGGAATGGGATGACGCCCGCGCCGAACTGGAGAATAAGCTTGCTCAAGTGGAGGAATTGAACGAGTCGATGAAGAGGGAGCTGGACAGGACCAGGGACGAACACGATGAGGAAATTCGCCAACTTCGAGAACAGCTTGACGAAGCTCGCGCCGGCGCCAACGCACAGTCAAACGGCATGGCTGACGAGGAATTAAAACGCGAGAACAGGGCTCTGCGTGCGGCGTTGGAGGAGCAAGAGCAGGTGACAGAGGAGGTTCGTCGTGAGGCCCAGGGGTTCCTGATGGAGATGCGCAATATTTCCCAGCAAAGCGGTGCCTCGTGGGAAAGGCAGTCGGAACTGGAGAAGACGATCGAAATGTTGGAGAAGGAGGTCCGGGACTGGAGGAATCGCTACGCCCGCGCCAAAACTCAGCTGCGGGATCTACGTGGGTCTTCGGAGGGCATTCCAATGCAACAGGACGCTGGGAAGTTTGTGCGCGAGAAGGGCTTCACGCAAGACGATGGGCTGGTCAAGGACGTCCATGTCACCAAGTTCCAGATCGCCATTGACGAGCTGTTGCAACGGGCGCGCGTGGATGACCCGGAGCGCGTGATTGACTCTATGAAGGCAGTTGTGGTAAGCGTCCGACGGATCACTAAGGATATCGACGAGTCGGCAAAGAACAACATCGAGCTTGCGCAGCAAAACCAGAAGCTCAAGGCCCGAGTATCCCCCGCAGCCAACAATCTTATTACTGCCTCCAAGTCTTTTGCTAGCTCGGCTGGAATTGCGCCAGTGACTCTCCTCGATGCTGCTGCCTCTCACCTGGTCACGGCTGTTGTTGAGCTCCTCCGAGCTGTCAAGATTCGATCTACCCCGGATGGTGAATTGGAAGATGACGATGACGACGGCACGGTTACTCCTGTTGAATCGGCCAGCTTCTTTTCGCCACGAAGCAATGGGCAGAGCCAGGCCTCCCGAGCTGAGGATTCTCTTCAGCGCCCACCACCTTTCCGCGGCCTAGGCGCCGCCGGAAGCCGAGCCAGCATGGACTCGTCTGCGTACAGCCCGGTCAACTCACCTCGTGAATCCTACACCCACGGACAGATGGCCAACGGATCCATGACAAACGGCAACGGAGGCGGCCACGGCAACCTGAACAAGGCTGTGAACGGAAACGCCAACGGCATGTACAACAACGCACGCCAACAACGCGACACTCGGGCGGAGGACCTCAAGATCTACCTCGAAGACCAGACGGCGGTGCTCGTGCAGACGATCCAGGACCTTGTGCAGCTGATACGCAACGACGCGGACATTAGCCAGGTCACGGAGGAGATCAACACGATTGTGGATGTTGTCGGCCAGGTCGTGTCCGAGACGGAGTCGACTGGTGGCAATGGTGTCGAGCTTGTCAGGCGTCTTTCTGCCTGCCGGGAGCGGCTGATGGAGGCGGGCAAGCGCGGTTTGGATCTTGCGGCTGCGGGCAACGATAGTGCCAGTCGGGAGTGGAGGATGTGGACGCAGACGTTGCCGCCGATTGCGTTTGAGATTGCGAGGGAGACGAAGGAGCTGGTGCAGAGGGTTGATCAGTTGGTGATGGATGATGGCGGGGATGCCGATGATTTTGCATGAAGGACGACAACTTGGATTATACTATTGCTCTAATGATGATGCGAGACTTGGGGGGTTTTCTGAGGAAAAGGATGGATGGATGATAGATACCTGATTCGATTCGAGACTTGGGGAGAGGAGGAAGGGGTTGAGAAACTTATTCGACATGAGCATTGCTTACGCTTCGATTTTGTTTTTCTCGAACAGAAGAACAGTTTTTGTTTATTATAGGCTTTTATAGCCTTTTTTTTTTTGCTTTGATACCCATCATAGCTGCTTGTTTTTTTTTTTCTTTGGGGAGGAGGAGGGTGTCTTTTCTTCTTCTTTGACTTTGACTGTTCAGGCTTGTTGTCTTTTTTTTTCTTCGGTTTCTTGCATCAGCCAGTTTTTATTTTATTTTCCAGAGTTTGATGGGAGAGGGGAGGGGGAAAGTTCTGTATATAGACGGGATGGATTGGTGTGGTTGGGGGGAGAAAGAGAAAAGGGGGGTCATATGTTTTTGATGATTGAGAGGGAGAGGAAGTTTTGTATTCTTGTTGTTATCATCCGTATGGGGAGCATGGATTGATTAATGGAAGATTTTAACTGAGAAGGAGTTGTGGTGGTGGTGCGTATAAATGTTTTTCTTGCTGTTTTGCTTGCTGAGTTTTGGTTTGGTTTGGTGGTGATGGGGAGGGGGAGAGGAGAGCACGGGAAGGGGGGGCAGTACTGTATGCCCAGCTGTATGCTAGTTGCTGGTTAGAGGGTGATTACAAGTAGGATTTATGTATGCTGGAGCGAGAAATAAAGATGGACTACTGCTGCACCGATTCGACTGAGGGTTGTGGTGTGTGATGTGAGTGCTTGCATCTCGATGTGTATGAAGTGACGGGTTGGGATGGAGGTTGTGCAGAGGAATGGTGTCTTTGATCAAATGGGTAGAAACGCCAGGCCGATATTCAAGTCACACGTAGGTAGGTAGACATCTCGATCAGGTCAAGATGCCGAACCCAGTTTCGATATTTCATCAGACTTTTCGGGATCGCGGCAAGTAGGGCACAAGCGCTGTGCATGGGGAATGATTTCTTGTGCCGCCGCCTGGGGCTGGACGGACGGCATTGAAGAGGTGAGCCAATAGTGGGAGGGCAAGGGGGGGGGGATTTTTGACAAATCATTTAGACTGCCTGGTTTGGTCTTGGTGGTGAGGTGCCGGGGGGCTAGGCCTCTTCTGGGGGGCGGTCACAGCCTTGTCTTGATTTTGGGTCACTTCTTCTTTCTCAGATCTCAACGGCACATAGAATTTTGATGGTATATACCTAAGGTAACTCTCAACATGTAAAAACACGAACTTGGTTTAACTATATGGTCAACACTAGGTACCCTTGGTGAGTGCAAATGATTCTCGATCGAGATGATGCCTTTGGGTTTAGCTATCATGATGTGTTGTGGTGGTCGAGTGGTTCTCAGCCCAACTTTCAGCTTGGCGCTTCAGCCGCATCCAAGGGTTCAACTGCAGGTCGTGATGGTGTCGACGAATCACCGTCTTTCCGAGTTCTTGGGCGCAGCGAGACAAGCAGAGACAAGTCAATGCACTGGGGTGGCACTTTGAACAGCTTGGTATTTGAAGTCACTACCACGAACCATGCAAGCATTGCAGCACGCCCCTCCCTATCAGCGAAAAGACAAGGGTTCAGTTTTGCTCTTTTCTTGTAGAATGGAGTTGACCGCATTTCTTGATTTGGTGACTAAATATTGGTGTAGCCTTGCGCCTTTGGGCTGGTCAGCTGGGTAAGACAAGAGTAAGGTTTACGCGTGCGGGTTGTGATGTAAAAAGCCCCCGACCCGTTCGTCAGAGGCGTTTTTTTTTCTCTTTGATTCTCATCTTTTATTTTCATTAGGTTTGCAGTCTTTTAACGACGGAAAAAACCGGCAAGTGTAAAGGACAACAAACAAGCAGGCAGACAAGATGTCGACCGCCCTCCGCAAACCCGGCCGCGAGCACTTCCCCATTTATCCCAAGGGGTTTATTGTCTTGAGGATCCTCCAGCTGGTGGTCGCGGTGATTGTTCTGGGGTTGGTGGCGTATAGTATTCACTTTTTGGCTTGGGATGGGAATGCGTTCATGTTGGCTGTGGTATGTTTCTTCACCCCCTCATCTTTATCTTCTATTTCCATCTTGTGTTATGTCGGGAGTGGGACTAACATCTTTGGGCAGGCCATCATGACAATCGTCACCTCCATCTACCACCTCGTCGCCTGGTTCGGCGCCCCAGAAGCCTTCAACTACTGGGCCGTCCTCGCACTGGACATCCTCCTCATTGTGATGTGGCTGGCTTCCTTCTCAGTCGTGGCGGCGCATATCGCTCCTTGGATGCAGTATTATGGTAGTTACCTCTATCTTACCTCGACATACGAGCAGGCTTGGTGGACTGGGTTGGCGGCTGCTAGTGGGATGGGTGGGCTTAACTTGTCAGTCTTTTTTTCTAACCCCCCGCCATGGTTTGTATGCTAATGGAAACAGTGCCCTTCATGTTATTTCGTTGATCATCCACTCGATCAGACTCCATAGACACCGCAAGGAAGGCGGGCACTCCCAGGCGGGTGTGCCTTTTGGTCCTAAGCCTACTGTTGGAACGGTGCAAGTTCCTCAGGGGCAGCAGCAACAGCAGCAGCAGCAGCCGGTGGTGTACCAGCAGGTTCCTCAGCAGCAGTTCCAGCAGCAGTTCCAGCAGCAGCCGCCTGTTTATCAGCAACCGCAGCAGCAGGTTTATCAGCAGCAACCGGCGACTCGGGAGAAACAAGTGTGTTCTCCGCAGCCTCAGCAGCCTGTGCCGGTGCCACAGGGGCAGTTTTATCAGCAGCAGTGAGGGTTTGCAATGTGAATGACAGGCTGATGATGTGATGGATTGGAGTTGAGTTAGAGGCAAGGTGTTGGTGTTTGGTTCCTTGTGTGGCAGGGTAATGTTGATTGATGATGGATACTTAATGATGGATATCACGATGTATGGGTATACCCGGGTGTTTTCGTTTCTATTAGGGCATCATGTACGTCGTCAGGATACCGGAGCAATATATTGGGCTGTATATATCATCAAGAAAAGACTGGAAATGCGTATGGTTTATAGTCAAATCAGCGGGCAGTTTGGATTTTGCTTTAGAAAGCCGAGCAATCAAGGCTCTCCGAGATGAGCAAGGAGCAAGAATACCAATCTGACGCATCCGAAGATATTGAGATGGACGAGGATCCGCGGTTCCTGACAGAACAGCCTTGTCTCCAAGGCGAGAAGAACCCAGAACACCCTGGTGGCCGGGCTCGGAAGCGTTGCTGCGTTGGTCGGCTGCGTTCTTCCCACTCCCGGTTGGCCCTGGCAGAGGGCTTCTTAAGGGACTGAATGTAAATGTAGGTGGGAGAAGAGAGCTAAAGAAGAAAAGATGGGGTTTTCAGGTGGCGGTTGTAGTGAGTTGGAGGTTTTAGAAGGGGACAGATGCGGATGTGACAATTGAAACTGGATGCTAAAACATCATGAAGACGAATGTCCAAATGGTGTACCTGACTTGAGGACTCGTTCAATCTGGGTAGAGTCACTATCTGGATGACGTTAGGACTTCGCACCCCGTTCTGAGGAAACTTTATCAGCAGTGGCAGGACAAAGAGCTTTGCGATATGAAATGAAATGGCGAATAACTTGCTTGCGCGGGATTCTGGGACGGTCTTCTTCATTTGATACCTGGTAAAACAAACCCAAATGCTATGATATGGCCGTTTCAAATGTTGAAAGTAAACCACTGCTAAGTCCCAACATCCCAATAAATTCTGGGAAAACTGGGTTATCACCAGGGACCATATCACATCCTCACTGTCTGTGCCGACATCACTTCATGGGAGTTTACATTGGTCATGAGAAGGATGGGAGACAACCATCAGTCAGGCATACCATCAGCCATAATATATTCAACACCATCGACCATCATATAGTCAACAGATTAAAGTCCCACACGAGATCAATGGCCATTTATGGGCCTTGGTGCTTATTTCCTACCCCTGTTTTCATGCCGAGACGTTGCGTTTGAAAGCATCACCAATGCCGTGATGTGAGCTGAAGCCTCTTGGAGTGCCTTTTTCACCCACAACATGCCAGGAATCTCGGAGAAGTAATAATAAAACGAGGGATTTTGTCAAGATACCATTCTCAGAATGACCTACTGAGTGTCCTGCCAATTTGAGAGACGCCCTTGAGCTTTAAAGTCGAAGATCGCCAATATTCTGCACCCATTTTGATGCCTTTTCGACATGGCTCAGTCACAGCAGTCGCGGTGGTAGTCTACACGATACGGGATTTTCATCAAGTTGCGTTTCTCTCATACTGCAAACATGAAGGCCGCGAGTGCTTGGGAACAGTGAAAAACCGCCATCAAAACAGTTCCGACGACCCAACAGGCCAGAAATCAATCTCGGCTTAGACCCCATCGCTGAGTCCTACGATTGAAGGAGAACAGAAGAAATCATGATGCCCCACGATCTCCTCAATATTCCCGAACTGCAACTTTCCAGGTCATTTTTCGCGCGGCTTGACATCGAACATGAGGAATTATCACCAAACTCACCCTCTGCAACTTCACCACCCACTAAGCTCACCGACCCCCCAATCCCCCATAAAAATTCCGCTGCCCTCCTGCCCGAGCTGCCTCACCGTCTTGAAGGCTCACATCACAGTCCCTCCCACCCTCTGCCACTCTCACCACCCGTTGCCCCCACAGCCAAAAGTGGGTCCTCCCCGCTCCTTCCCAACTGCGCACACTTTCGCTCCTTCCCTCAGTGCAATTGACGCGCAAGTTTCTCCAGGCAGCAGGCTATCAAGGTCCTTGTGCCTTCCATTTATATCGGTGTTCAGCTCAATTGTGAGTCAGGTGGTTGGGTGCCTGATGGTGAGGGTTTGGTGGGAAAGGCGGGTGCAATGTTTACTTCGGTGGAGTACGAGATAGGGGATGCCAAGACTTGAGGTTAGACCTGAGTTTTGCCGATGATAGGAGACGTCGGGTGATGTGCAAGGCTGTAGATTCATGAGGCTGGGGATGTCTAGAGGTGTTTTTTTGGATCTGATTGGGTTGTGTTTTTTCTGGGAGGTGTGTAGGGCATTGGGTGTGCTTTATTGCTTGAGATATCATGTTCAGGATGGCTCTGCGATGTTGAGGCTCCCTAAGTCAAGCATGAGATCTGGAAATGGTCAGATGAATATCGAATTGAAGATAGCATGAAGGCTGGGTAGTGGTCCAAGAGTGTGCTTGAGTTGGCTTTGCCAGGCAATCTTCCGTGTGTTCTTGTTTGGTGACAATGATTGTGGGCGTTTGCAGAGATACCTTTGATCAAGACAGCAGCGTTTTGAATAGGAGGACAAGGTGGTTAAATACAAAGAAAAGAGTCAATGCCCTGGCGTCGTGTGGGCTTTTTGATCCAACATCTGTCTATATACTACATCATCACTGAAAAGAAAATGCCCGTTAATCTGTCTGTTGGAAAGATGCTGAAGACCCTTATGGCCTTCATCTACCTGATATCATGTTGTTTTCAACCTCCATTTTGCCTCTGATATTGTCAGAAACTCATATGTTCGAAATGATCCCATCGCTACCCCAAGTTCAGACCCTAAAAGCGACCACCAAACCCTCTGTTCGAACCTTGATCGACGACATCATCGTCCCAGCTTAGGAAGGAGCAACTGCCCATTGTTATTGTTCTGCCCCAGTGAATGGGAAAATTCTGCCCACCGCCGTGCCTGACCCTCCGCTGCCTGACCCTCCGCTGCCTGGTTTGTTCATCTGCTCTCCCAAATTCCCGTGAACCTTTCCCTCTCTTCTTTTTTTACTCAGTACGACCGATCGCCACGCTTGTAGGTACCCCCATTCCCGCCCTCTCATGGCATTTATTCTTCTTCTCTTTCGTTTGCTAACGATATTTTCAATAGTACCAGAAATTCGCCATCCGTCAAGCGATGTGAGTTTTTTTTTTTGATCTTTGTTTTTCTTTCGACTTTTTCAACTTTGGCTGACCATCTTCGACAGTACCCAAGCAACGACTTTTCGTCTCACCTTGTAGGCTTTCATCTTGGTATTCTGTGGCTTCACGACATTCGCTGACCATTTTCAACAGTTCCAGCATCGGCTTTTCGTCCCCGCTTTGTAGGTTTTCGTCTTTGTGTCCCACGACTTCATGACCGGTTTGCTAACGATTATACAGACAAGATGTACACCATCACCACCTTCGCCGCAGTTGCCTTCGGGCTTCTCGCCCAGCTCGCCGCCCTCGCGGTGGTTGTCTGCTCCCTCGGCTTAGCAGGTATGTTGCGTTCTTAGTCATTAGATTTCAAGCGTCTGTTAACGAATGTGACAGTCCAAACTGCAAGCCCGACCGCCGCCCTCGCCGGGTTGGCTTTCCTTCTGTTGTTCTTCTCTCTGGTCTTCCCTCGCTTCCGAAAGGAGTACTTTGCAGCCTTTGCTTCTGCGGTGCTGGGCGGACTCCTGGCCCACTTTAACGGGTCTGCGAGCTTCTCGTCTGGTGCCTTCACCACCGCACTGACTGTATTTGTGCTTTCTCTTGTGTGCAAGCACTTCCCGGGATGCTTCAATGTCCTGTGGAGGTACGTCGTTACCGCGGTGTGTTGCCTGGCCCCTGTCTTTTCTCCCTCGTGGAGGGCTTTCCTCGGAAAGTCGCGGGGGACTTGCAGGAATTTCCCTGAGTTGATTGAGAACGTTGTTCTCATGATTCCGCTGAGTCACATCACCCTCCGCGAGTTACTCAACGAGGTGGCGCGGCGTCACGTTCAAGAGTTGAGATTTGCCGAGCAATGCGTCACCCTTGGGAAAGTTCTCGACAGCTCTCAAGCCGCTGTTGATGAGTTCCGCCGTGTTCACCCGAACAGGAGGCTTTCCCATTGTGTGCGCAGATTTATCTGGGAGCAGATCCCCCTTGCCGAGATGGAAGACGGTCTTTTTGAGTTGAGTCGTTTCTCTACCTGGGAACGGCTCCTCTTCCTCGCCGGTTTCTTGGGTTCTTTGCTGGAGACTGAGCTTGCTCGGTTGAAGGCCGCCTGTGAGAAACTGGATGAGGTGATCAACAAACGGCAGCAGTACATTGCTTCTGCCATCCAGATCCAAAAGATTGTCGTCAAACAGACAGCGGCATACCCTATCGTCAAGATCCCGGCTGTGGCGCGTTTGCCCTCGCGGGCACTCGTGCTCAAGCCCGATAGCTTGGTCCCTGCCGCACTCCCCCCTGCGTCTCCTAGACGACCAGAAGAGAAGAAGGACATGAGCGTGTTCGAGATGATCGTCTCGACCGCTCGTCACCCCCGCAGCAAAAGCAAGGTTCTCCCCGTCACAGAGAACTGAGGTCGAGCTGCCTCCGACCCCCGACCACTCCCACTCCGAACCCCCTGCCTCTCCTGCACCCGCCATCATCGAGGAAATCGCTCCTCTCTCGCCATCGACCATGGTCCAGCGCGCCTTTTCCCAAATTGAGGGCATGGACCAGGCGTTGAGAGCGTTGTCCGTTCGCGAGCATCACGCGCCGGACAACGAGATCTACGAGATGATGATGCGGCCTCGCAAGGAGAGTGCCGTCACAAAGGAAGCTCGGTTCGCTCGTGAACGGTCGCTCATTGCGTACCGTCACGCCCAAGCCGAGAAGGAGAAAGAGATCAAGGCTTTGGTGGTTGTTTCTCCCGCTGCTGTCACTTCGGTGACTTTAGCACCAGCCGCCGCCGCCGCCGATACTCCCTTCGTCCTTCCTTCGGACGCCCCAGCCCAGGCCACCGCCGTCGCACCAACCTCTTCCGATGATCTGATGTCGGAACTCCGCGTTGCCCTCGCCGCGCGCGAACGAAGCATCCGGAAGACGACGCGCGACGACACCCCGGCCAAGCTGAAGGCTGCCAATGCCACTGTTCCCGCCACGTCATCCAGTGAAGATGAGTGGGTCACCACGGATGAGAGTGATTCGGACGAGCCTCGCGGCTCTGAAGATGACGATTCCAAGTCTGACGTCGATTCCGAAGGTCCCCGCGGGCCAGAGGATGATGACTCTGGCGACGGTGATGAGGACGACGCGCCACCGAGCGTCGCCTCTTCCATTCTAGCTGTTGTGGATGGTGAGCAAGCTTCACCGAGCGAACCCACCGCCGACGCCGTCGATGACAACGACAAACACGGTTCCCCTGGTCCGTCCGGAAACCCTGCTCTGCCCGAAGCCGAAGTGTCTTTTGACTCGGAAGCTGGTGCGCGTGAGCAGGCCGGCGGTTCCACCCGTGACGTTGCCGTCACCGTCGGCGGTGACAAGCAAAGTGAGGACACGGATGACGAGCCCGAGACCTCTTTGGAGGAGGAGGAGGGTGAGAGTGATTCTTGCGTTGGTGTTGACCAGCAGTTGCTCGTTACACAGCTTTATCCACCGCTACCCCCGAGCCCAACGACGACGACCACGCGCGGTGAAGCGGAGACTTCTTTGGAAGGGGAGGCCGAGCAGAAGGTGCTGTCTCGCGACAGGGCGGAAGTGGTTTGACATCTTCGGAGGAAGGGAGTGTTGACACACCACCTGTCGGCTCCAGTCCTGTTGTTAGTGTGGAGGCACAGACTGAGAACGATGCCGACATCACAAGCCTCTTGGAGGCTTCTCATATTTCGACTTCCGTTGCGCAACAGTTGCAAGTCCACATGGTCAACAGCAGACAAACAACAGCAACAGAACAGACAATAATTGGCTGAATTCAAAGGCAAACAAACAGCCGACGGCCAATAACCACACCCCGCCAGCCAATCACAGTATCCTGAAGGTGGGCAATGGTTCAAGACATGAGGGAAGCCCGGTCAATGACGGGGGACCGGAAGGTCTGCCAACGCCTCGTGCCCAAGGGAATGGAAGCCTTGACCGAGGGGCGTCGCCTCGCCGCGAACCCCAAACCTCAAAGTGAAAAGGTGGGACCGAAGGAAGGGTGAAAAGGAAAGAAGGAATTCACCGGAATGGGAGGGAAGGCCAAGGTTGTCGAATGAATGAAGGGGTGAAGGAATACCCGCCAATGGGTCAATCCCCCGAACGCCCGGAAGTAGAAGGGGTCCCCCCTG